ACACACACACACACACACACACACCTGTCGAATCCTGACCTGTTCTGTCAAGCACGAGCACAGACTGACGATGCGCGTGCACGCCTGTAGGCGGCGCTGCAGACGCACTTATGCCATTTTTAAATTCATTTCAAAATTGCTTTATTGGGCTAACTGTAAAATAATACATAATATTGTAATAAATAATACAATATTGCCAAAGCTTGCAAAACATAGAATAATAATAAAAAACATCATCAAGATAATAGAAAAAAATATAATATAACTTAAATTTAAATAAACAGTGTAACAAACTAGAACGTGTGAACAAGCTTATGCTCGTGTCCGCTGCATAAGTTGCGCTGATTTGAATGAATGTTCAAAGCAAAACTCGCGTGCGCGCGCAGTGAATATGAGAGAATCAGTCGCTTTATGAGGAACATATGAACGCTGTTAATGCATAACGCCATGACGTCACTGCGCACACTTGTTTTTGCGGTTTGACATTTTTCTTGCATTTGTACCCTACTACAATTAAAACAAAACTCCCACAATATGATTGTGAAAGAACGGCATGCATCTCGTCTGCATTATATCATAAATATAAGAGAAACGTGCAAACAATATGAAATACAAAAGCAAAAATGGAAAAGGTGAGAGGAAATTATTGAATTGTGTTCTATTGCACTATATAAAAAGCCGTGATTCTTTTATTTATTCACACATTTTATTCATTCTCTCTCTCTCTCATTTCAAAATGTGCTTTATGTGTTTCAATTTATTAAAGCATTTCTATTCATCATACATGTACATAGGCCTAGATACAAAAAATAAATAGATTAAAAGGTAAGTAGAACAACTAATCAACATTTCAGAGTTATATGAACAGTTTAGAATTCAGTGTGTGTGAGTGTTTGCGTGCGTGTGTGAGCGTTCGAGTGTCTGATTTTCTCTCTCTCTCTCTCTCTCTCTCTCTCTCTCTCTCTCTCTCTCTCTCTCTCTCTCTCTCTCTCTCTCTCTCTCTCTCTCTCAAAATAGCAGTGCACAGTTCCCTATCGCTCAGATCATCTGGACCCGCTCGGTGTCGGATTCCCAGTTTGATCGACCGCGTCCGTAATGCGGGACACACCGGCACCGGAGACGCACGCGCTCGCACACACACCCGATGGCGACCCGTGAGCGCGCCCGGGACTCATCATGCCCAACCGAACTGAGCCGGAGCCGCGGGAGCTGCTGGCGCGCGCGCTCACCGGGACCGTGCTGAGCGTTCTGATCCTCTGGACTCTGTTCGGGAATATTCTGGTGTGCGCGGCCGTGCTGCGGTTCCGACACCTGCGCGCGAAAGTTACGAACATCTTCATCGTGTCGTTGGCCGTGTCGGACCTGCTCGTGGCCGTGCTCGTGATGCCGTGGAAGGCGGTCACGGAGGTCACCGGGTTCTGGCCGTTCGGTGCGTTCTGCGACATCTGGGTGGCGTTCGACATCATGTGCTCCACCGCGTCCATCCTGAACCTGTGCGTGATCAGCGTGGACCGGTACTGGGCCATCAGCAGCCCGTTCCGCTACGAGCGCAAGATGACCCCGCGCGTGGCGTGCGTGATGATCGGCGCGTTGTGGACCCTGTCGGTGCTCATCTCCTTCATCCCGGTGCAGCTCGACTGGCACAAAGCTTCTGCGGAGCCCGGGTCCAACGCCAGCGACGCGCGCGCCGCCGAGGACACCTGCGACTCGAGCCTGAGCCTCGAGTACGCGATCTCCTCATCCCTCATCAGCTTCTACATCCCCGTGGCCATCATGATCGTCACGTACACCCGGATCTACCGGATCGCGCACATCCAGATCCGGAGGATCGCTTCACTGGAGCGCGCGGCAGCGCAAGCGCAAAACAGCCGTACGAACCGGCTCGCGCGCCACCATCATCATCATCATCATCATTCACACAGCAGCCTGAAGACGAACTTCAACCGCGAGACTAAAGTTCTGAAGACTCTGTCCGTGATCATGGGCGTGTTCGTGTTCTGCTGGCTGCCGTTCTTCGTGCTGAACTGCGTGGTTCCGTTCTGCCCCCGCGAACCGTCCGCGGGCCCGTCGTGCGTCAGCGACACCACTTTCGACGTGTTCGTGTGGTTCGGCTGGACCAACTCGTCGCTGAACCCCGTGATCTACGCGTTCAACGCGGAGTTCCGCAAGAGCTTCTCGAGCCTGCTGGGCTGCCGGAACCGGTGCCGGACCCCCGTGGACACGGTCAACATCAGCAACGAGCTCGTGTCCTACAACCAGGACACGCTGTTCCACAAGGAGGTCGCGGGCGCGTACGTCAACATCATCCCGAACGCCGTGGACGCGTTCGACCGGATCTCGCAGCTTTCGCACGGTGATGACGAGGACGACGCGTGCGATGTGGAGCGCGAGGCGGACGGCGCGTTCACGCAGAACGGCATTCACTGACCGAGAGCGCGCACTGACGCTGGACTGTGTTCGGACCCGCGCGCACAGTGAACGCGCTCATACCGTTCCTGGACATGTGTATGAAATGCTTACAGTTGTTGACACGTGACCCGGTGAGTGGCGCGCACTTATCAAGCGTGCAGCTCTTTGTATGATGATGATGATGATGATAGTCAGAGATGTTGAAGCAGTGCCTGAACACCTCTAACTGGACCAGACAGCAGCAGAGCGGCGGCCCACATCCAGTCGAGTCTCCTTCATCTATACAGCGCTTTACCAGTGTAGAGTTCCACAGCAGCTTTACAGTGATAACAGGAGATTACAGTAACAGAGAGTGTTTAGGCTTTACAGCAGCTCTAGAATAAAGTTATTGTCCAGATAAAGTTAGTTTTGATTGATTCACTTCCGTTGTAAAGATCATTAGTTATTAACTAAGCGGCCGCTAACACACACCACTCTACAGAACACAGAAACTGTTCATGTGTTCTGGGTTAGGCTCTGTGAAATCTGTGATCACACTGGTACATCTGGGCCGGATCTGGGCCGACACTGTGCTGCTGTCTGGGGGTTGAGTGAGACGCAAAATTACTTCAGATATTCAGTCTTGTTTCATGGAAATATTGAAAAATGTATTCTTTGCTTAAAACAAGAACAAAAATCAAATACAATATTCTTCATAGAACAAGAGTTAATATCTTCAGTCATTTTGCTTCTTCTCCAGGAAATGCATCTTGATTTATAAATGTTTATATTGTTAGATAGTTGTTACCGTGCAGATATTAGACCGCTACACTTCCGGTTCACTCGTCACAGAACACGAGCAGCCTAAACACAACTCCGGAATTATACTGTGAACAATAAACTCAATAACTACATCTGAATTCAAGATGATGAAAAATAAGTAAACAGTGAAAGTTGCGTGATTAGGTTTACACCGTACAGACTCACTCCATATAAAATATATAGGCTAGATATATGATATTATTAGGGGTGTAACAATGTATCGTGCCACAATATCTCACAGCTCAAACTGCACCCGTATCGTGTGTCGTTCCCCTACAGTGAAAGTTTACACAGGTTTAATTCCGCACCAAATATGTGTATAATTATTATTATTGATAAATGATGTAATCAGAGGTGAATGTTGTGTGTCTAACGAACATCTGTAGTTAAGCAGAATTATTAATATTTCTATTCTGCTGTCACCGACCAAAATGTGTTATTTTACTGATCAGGACTGTACTTTATGCGTTAGAAGTGATAATTGCAGAAAACAGCATTTGAACTCTATTCTGGCTCTATTTAACTCTGGTGCTCTTCGCGTCGGTCAAAAAGGGCATGATTGTTTTTTATTTCAATGAAATGAATGTACTATATTTTAGTTTGATAATGTTTTTCATTTAATATTTTGTATTTTTAGGGGATTTTTTATACTACGTTATATTTACGCTGTATTTATAATCCATGTATTTACGTTTTGAGCATAGACCTGAACATGAAATGTCCAACTTAAACTGTGGAGAATCTTGAACGCTTTAAATTACAGACTGAAGTTCTTCTCTGATTGCCTGATCGCTTTTCAAACACGACACTTGGATTATTTCTGAAGTGAAAAAAATTTAAAAAGTGAACTTAACAAAAGTTCCAGAATTTTACGTTTATTGTTATGAAAAATGCACAAAAAAACTATTTAAAATTTTTATACGAAATCTATGTTTTCAAAATCACGTTTTACTCTTAAACTGCAAGAAAATCAAAGTCATAAATGTAATCAAGTGTGTGTTCCGCATGTGAGCTGATCTCTCAGTAAACGAGCGTTCAGTGAGAGTGTGTTCGGCTGCAGTTCCACACGCTTCCACTAGAGGAAACTCGACATTCGTTTCTAATGCGTCATTTCTGACCGCGAGCAGCACAAGTGGGACTGATGTTTTCAGGATCATTTAAGCTTTTCGAAACGTCCATGATTTTTTTTATGTTCACACAGCAAGTGCCAAAACCTTTCTTAAGTTTCGTACCATTCCCATGAATAAAAAATAAAAAATAAAATTCGGTCCAAAATGACCAATAGCACCAGAGGGTTAAAGAATCAGATCGTGAGATCAGTGTTTTAATCAAACTGAATCATGAGTGTTTTTACACCCCAAATATTATCTAGTTTCCTAGTGAACAAAAATATGTTCTAGGAACGTTCTGACAACTTTCCCATTGAGATATAAAAATGTTATTTCTGAATGTTCTGTGAAACGAACTGTTTTTTCTTGGTTAAGGGAACATTCCATTATATCAAACATTACTGGAACGTTACTTTTGAATGTTCTCTGAATGTTCTGAAACATGTAGTAACATTTAAAAAACGTTTAACGACAAAAAAAGTTTCCTCTGTGGACTGCCATCATCATCATCATCATCATCATCATCATCATCATCATCATCATCTTCCTCATCATTAGTCCTGCCGGAGAGATTCCACAGGAGCGAGGCCTTATTCCCTCAGTAACTGATCGGCCTTTACACTGAGTGCAATATCCCAGAACTCTGAGCGATGCCAAACCTCACCGTGTGCCAGCGGAGCGACTGCACGTGACCTTTGACCTCTCGACGACAGGGGCGACTGCACATGACCCATGACCTCTCGACGACAGGGGCGACTGCACGTGACCCTCGACCTCTCGACGACAGGGGCGACTGCACGTGACCCTCGACCTCTCGACGACAGGGGCGACTGCACATGACCCTTGACCTCTCGCAGACAGGAGTGTCTACACGTGACCCTTGACCTCTCCCCGACAGGAGTGACAGCACATGGCCCTTGACCTCTCGACGACAGGGGCGACTGCACATGACCCTTGACCTCTTGCCGACAGGACGTGACCCTTGACCTCTCGACGACAGGGGCGACTGCACATAACCCATGACCTCTCGACGAAAGGGGCGACTGCACATGACCCTTGACCTCTCGACGACAGGAGCGACAGCACATGACCCTTGACCTCTCACCGACAGGAGCGACAGCACATGACCCTTGACCTCTCGACGACAGGGGCGACTGCACATGACCCTTGACCTCTTGCCGACAGGACGTGACCCTTGACCTCTCGACGACAGGGGCGACTGCACATAACCCATGACCTCTCGACGAAAGGGGCGACTGCACATGACCCTTGACCTCTCGACGACAGGAGCGACAGCACATGACCCTTGACCTCTCACCGACAGGAGCGACAGCACATGACCCTTGACCTCTCACAGACAGGAGTGACAGCACATGGCCCTTGACCTCTCGACGACAGGGGCGACTGCACATGACCCTTGACCTCTTGCCGACAGGACGTGACCCTTGACCTCTCGACGACAGGGGCGACTGCACATAACCCATGACCTCTCGACGAAAGGGGCGACTGCACATGACCCTTGACCTCTCGACGACAGGAGCGACAGCACATGACCCTTGACCTCTCACCGACAGGAGCGACAGCACATGACCCTTGACCTCTCACAGACAGGAGTGACTACACGTGACCCTTGACCTCTCCCCGACAGGAGTGACAGCACATGGCCCTTGACCTCTCGACGACAGGGGCGACTGCACATGACCCTTGACCTCTTGCCGACAGGATCGACAGCAGATGACCCATGACCTCTCGACGACAGGGGCGACTGCACATGACCCTTGACCTCTCGACGACAGGGGCGACACCACGTGACCCTTGACCTCTTGCCGACAGGGGCGACTGCACATGACCCTTGACCTCTCGCCAACAGGGGCGACTGCACATGACCCTTGACCTCTCGACGACAGGGGCGACTGCACATGACCCTTGACCTCTTGCCGACAGGGGCGACTGCACATGACCCTTGACCTCTCGACGACAGGAGCGACAGCACATGACCCTTGACCTCTTGCCGACAGGGGCGACTGCACATGACCCTTGACCTCTCGACGACAGGGGCGACTGCACATGACCCTTGACCTCTCGACGACAGGGGCGGGACTCCTGCAGTCTCTTCACACACCGGATCATAACTCTTTTATAAGGCACTTATTTATTCCTTTATATAGGTCATGTGTGTGTGTTTCTGTTTCATGAATAAACTGAGGTTTGTTTACTGCAAGATTTATAATGATGTTCTTCCTCAGTGTTTCTGTCTGGTTTCCAGCACTAATATATAAACATTCTTAAATCAGGACACAGGAGAAGAAGCAACACTGAAGATATTAAGTCTTGAGTTCTGAAAAAATGTATCAAAATGAAGTGAGTTTGAGCTTAAAACAAGAACCAAGATCTGCCAGTGGAGTCAGAAGAATAACCTTTGAATGTTTTAAGCACAAACACTTACTTTTTTATTTTATATAAACCAAGTCTTAATTTCTTCAGTGTTGTTGCTTCTTCTCCAGTAAATGTGTCTTGATTTGAGAGTGTTTAGATGTTAGTGCTGGAAGACGAGACAGAAACACTGAGGAAGAAGACGTGAGGTTCTGGAGGTCCAGGTTTGTTCTCATGTCGTGTTGATCGTGAATGTTTGAAGAATCGTTACAGGACATATTTAATATCGTGATGCTTTATAGTGTTTCATTACTGTAACGTTTATTGTTTACAAAAGAGAAGCCTGTAGATTCACTGTAATGAACTGTGTTCAGCTAAAACATGAACCCTGACCATGAACAGAGTGTGTGTGTGTGTGTGTGTGTGTGTGTGTGTGTGTGGGAGTGAATGATATTTTTCTCAGTCACACACACATGAATGTACACTAACAGTCATGTGCACAGATATTTTTTAATAAAATGAGCATTAAACGTAATGCCTTGTAGTTGTTGCTGGTGTTTCAGTAGTTGAGGTGTGTGTGTGTGTGTGTGTGTCTCTGTCCTGCGTTTCTCAGAAGAGTAAATGTATCTTGATTTAGGAGTGTTTGTTCTGGAAAACGAGTGTACGGATGCGTGAACACTGATAAACATGATGTTACAGAGGAGCTGAAAGGACTCCATTTCTCCGAGGTTATTATAACTGATCAATAATTCAGCAGA